TAAGGGGAATCCTGTTGCTGCTCCCTGGATTTCCACCCCGCCCTCGTTCCTCTCAGGGCCGCTCACTCCCGTTTTCCTCCTTCTCCTCCTCCTCCTCTCCGGAGTTTTAAGGGGAATCCTGTTGCTGCTCCCTGGATTTCCACCCCGCCCTCGTTCCTCTCAGGGCCGCTCACTCCCGTTTTCCTCCTTCTCCTCCTCCTCCTCTCCGGAGTTTTAAGGGGAATCCTGTTGCTGCTCCCTGGATTTCCACCCCGCCCTCGTTCCTCTCAGGGCCGCTCACTCCCGTTTTCCTCCTTCTCCTCCTCCTCCTCTCCCCTCTCCCTCCCCCTCCCAGCAGCTCAGGGGCTGGTGAGCGAAAAGGCAGAGTCAGAGGACGGAGCAGCCGAGCCCGGCGAGGGTCCAGGGGTGGTCTCGGAGCGGGAGAAGCCCCTCGGCTCCCACCGGCGCAAAGCCAAGCGCCCGGACCGGGCCGTGCCCCCCGGAGCCGCCGCGGTGGTGCCCAAACCCGAGCCCGAGGAGGGGCCGTGCCGGGATCGGTGCCGGGATCGGCCCTTCGGCTGCGCCGACTGCGGGAAGAGCTTCCCGTGGGCCTCCCACCTGGAGCGGCACCGGCGCGTCCACACCGGCGAGCGGCCCTTCGGCTGCCCCGAGTGCGGCGAGACCTACAGCCAGAGCTCGCACCTGCGGCAGCACCGGCGCGGCCACGCCGGCGACCGCCCGCACCGGGGAGGCCGGGGCGGCCGACGCTTCCCCGGCGCGGCCCCGCGGCCCCACCGCTGCGGCGACTGCGGCAAGGCCTTCGCCTGGGCCTCGCACCTCGAGCGCCACCGGCGCGTCCACACCGGCGAGCGGCCCTTCGGCTGCGGCGAGTGCGGCGAGCGCTTCAGCCAGGCCTCCCACCTGGCCAAGCACCGGCGCGGCCACTCCGCCGCCGCCGAGCGGCCTCACCGCTGCCCGGCCTGCGGCAAGACCTTCCGGCAGAGCGCGGAGCTGGCGCGGCACCGGGGCGCCCACCTGGGCCGGCGGGCCCTGCGCTGCGGCCACTGCGGGCGCCTGTTCCGCGCCGGGCCGGCGCTGGCGCGGCACCAGCGCCGCCGCCACCGGCCCGAGCGCTCGCACCGCTGCGCCGACTGCGGCAAGGCCTTCGCCTGGGCCTCGCACCTCGAGCGCCACCGGCGCGTCCACACCGGCGAGCGGCCCTTCCCCTGCGGCAGCTGCGGCGGGCGCTTCGCCCAGAAGGCCCACCTGCTGCAGCACCGCAAGACCCACTCGCCCGACCGGCCCTACAAGTGCGGCGACTGCGGGAAGCGCTTCGGCGAGGCCGCCCCGTTCCTGGCGCACCAGCGCGGCCACGCCGCCCGCAAGGGCTTCGCCTGCGGCCTCTGCGGGAAGGGCTTCGCCTGGGCCTCGCACCTCGAGCGCCACCGGCGCGTCCACACCGGGGAGAGGCCCTTCGGCTGCCCCGAGTGCGGCGAGGCCTTCAGCCAGGCCTCCCACCTCGCCAAGCACCGCCGCAGCCACCTGCACAAGGCCGCGGGGCCGCCCCTCGCCGGGACCCGGCCCCAGGTCGGGGACGAGCCCCAAGTCATCACGGACTCACCGGGAGCCCATGGCGGCGAGGAGGCCTCAGGGGCTGAGAGACCCTGAAGGGTCGAGACCCCCTGAAGGGCCGAGACCCTCCCTTGGAGTGACAGAGGAGCCCTGAGGGGCCGAGACCCTCCCTTGGAGTGATGGAGGAGCCCTGAGGGGCCAAGACCCCTTCAAGGACCGAGACCCCCTGAAGGACTGAGACTCCCCCCATGGAGTGACAGAGGAGCCCTGAGGGGCCGAGACCCCCTGAAGGACCGAGACCCTCCCTTGGAGTGACGGAGGAGCCCTGAGGGGCCGAGACCCCTTCAAGGACCGAGACCCCCTGAAGGACTGAGACTCCCCCCATGGAGTGACAGAGGAGCCCTGAGGGGCCGAGACCCCCTGAAGGACCGAGACCCTCCCTTGGAGTGACAGAGGAGCCCTGAGGGGCCGAGACCCTCCCTTGGAGTGACGGAGGAGCCCTGAGGGGCCGAGACCCTCCCTTGGAGTGACAGAGGAGCCCTGAGGGGCCGAGACCCTCCCTTGGAGTGATGGAGGAGCCCTGAGGGGCCGAGACCCTCCCTTGGAGTGACAGAGGAGCCCTGAGGGGCCGAGACCCCCTGAAGGACCGAGACCCTCCCTTGGAGTGACAGAGGAGCCCTGAGGGGCCGAGACCCCCTGAAGGACCGAGACCCTCCCTGGGAGTGACGGATGGGGAGGAAGGACGGTGCCCCGAGTGGAAACTCGGCTTGAGGACAAGCCCAAGGACTTGGGGATGAGCCCCCCCAGAGTCACTTCGTGTGTGGGGGGCTGTGGAGCCCCTCGTTGGGACCCCTTGAATTTATCGGCGATAAACACATCGGGGACCGTTTTGGGGCAAAATCGCCTGAATTTGGAGCGGAGGGGGTGGGTGCTGAGGGTGGTGTAGCCCCTGTGGTCTGAGGGGACGGGGCTGAGGAGCTGCAGGACCCCCCCCAGTGAGGCGCCTTCATAGCGGGGAAAGGGGCTGATTTTGGGGTAAAAAACAGGGGTTTCTCTCACCGGGACAAGGAGCACCTCTGTTAGTACTCCCCAGGAGGAGTTCGGAGCCCCCAAAATTCGCGTTTTCCCCCTCCTCGGGGCCACAGCGGCGTTTGGAAGGCCTCGACAGGGCCCCGTCGCCATGGCAACGCCGGCGGCCGCCCTCCCCCAAGATGGCGGGCAGGGCTTCACCCGCAGGCGCCATCTTGAGCCGGGCCCCGCTGGCGGCAACGGGGACGGGGAGGGCGCGGCCATTTTCCCTCGCGCCCCGCCTGAGGGCGGCGCCGCCATTTTGGAAGAGGGCACCTTCCCTTCTGACCCCGAATTAGCCGGTTTTCAGCCCGATTTCTGCGCTCCCCGACCCCGCAGCGACGCCTCCCGCAAATATTTTCCTCCCCCAAAAGCCGATTTCATCGGGGGGGCAGCGAGGACAGCGTAAAGAAAAGCAGGGCAACGGTCGGTGTCGAATCCTCTCTATCCGCATCATAGAGGGGGAGCTCCCAGCAGGGATTGAAATCCCTAAATCCCTCGGGAAAGGACCGATGAGTGGGCGTAGCGGGGGTTTGGGGTCATTTCTGTACATCTGGAGGTTTTGGATCATTTTCCCCTCAATCCGAGTTCCTGGAGCGGCTCTGTGATGCTCATGGGGACACGGCACAGAGGCCAATGCTGGGAAAACCACCCCAAAACCCTCCTCTCTCCCCCCTTCGGGCCAGGAACGCCCCAACCCACCACCTACGCACCCCTCAACATCATATCGGGCCCCCCAAAACATCCCGTAGGGGCCT